AAGAGGAGGAAATTAAAAGTAGAAATGATAAATCAATCCAAAAATTGCTTTTAAAAATATATCACTAAAATAGATAAATTATGTCTGAGTCTGATTAAGGAAAAGGGAAGAGAAAATAAAGTTATACAAGATTAGGAATTTTTAAAGGAGAAATAAGCATGAATACAAAAGAGACTTTTTAAATTATAAAATTTATGGTAACAAATTTGAAAACCTTGAAAAATTGGACAATTTCCTAACAAAATATAAAGGAATCCAAGAACAACTGGAAAACTCAAATATTCCAGTTACTACAGGCTAGATTGAAAAGGTGTTAAATGTCCACATTGAGAAGGCAGCAGGGCCAGGTGATTTCCTGATTTGTTTCAGCCGAACTAAGAACACTAATTCCAATATTATTTGAATTATTCCAAGATGAAGGAAAGGATGGAAAACTTCCTAATACATTTTATGAAGTCATCAAAACTTTAACATAAATTCCTGATAGAGTACCAAAAAAAAAAAAAAGAAATCATAACCTGACTTATAAATATAGATGCAAAAGTTCTAAACAAAATATTGGCAAGCAATATTCAGCAATAATTCAAAAGAATAACACATTATAACCAATTAAAGACATAGTGCTTAATTTAAAGAACGTAAGAGTGAAATTCAATGTGATAAAGTTGACGTACCAAAAACCAACAGTAAACATCTTCCTACTTGGTAAAACAATAAAACTATTTCAAATAAAATCGGGAAACAAACAGGGATGCCAGCTAATGCTGTTATTATGCAACATCTTGACAAGTCTTGCAAATAAAGTAAATGCTGAAAAAAGATACACTGTATTTACTAATTGCATAACTGTGTATATAGAAAGCCCAGTAGATTATAGTTTTTTAAAAAAAAACTAGTAGAATTAATAAGGATATTTGATAAGGCAGCATTATAAGATAAATATGCAAAAGTCATTAGGTTTTCTATATTCAAGCATAAGCACCAAGATACAGAAATGGGAAAAACATTCCATAGACAACAATGAACAAGTCAATAAAATACTTAAAAATGAACTTAGCAAGAAAAGCATGAAATCTATATGAAGAAACATAAAATTATATTGAAGGATCCATTTTAAAACCTAAGCAAATGAAAAGACACTCATGTACTTAACTGGGAAGATGTAATATCATAAAAATGTCAATTATCTTAATATCATAAAAAGCCCAATTAAAAAGCAAATAAAATATTAGGATCCTAAAACATAAAAATGAAATTAGGTAAAAATTGAAGAAATATGAATAAACTATGGATTTTAGTTAATACTAATGTAGCAACATTCATCCATTAATTATAACATATGTATCACATTAATGTAAAGTGTTAATAGTAAGAAAGCCAGGTGAGAAGTATATGGAAACTCTCTGTACTATCTTCACAATTTTTCTGTACATCTAAAACTGTTCTCAAAAATAAAGTTTATTTTAAAAGCATATATGTGAGACTACCAGGTGCAGTGGCTCACGCCTGTAATCCCTCAGAGGCCGAGGCAGAAGGATCACCTGAACCTAGCAGGTCAAGGTTGAGGTAGCCATGATCCAGCCTGGGTGAGACAGGGAAGTTTTAAAATATATATATAAATATAATAAAATTCCAGTTAAATGGGTAAAAGTATTTTAAAGTTTAGAGAGAAAATAAATGCTCAAGAAAGCAAACAAAAGAATGAAAAAGAATAGTGAGAGGAAATATACTATAGAGCCACTGTAATTAAATCAATATGGGGTACTGGTATAGGAATATATAAAGAGATCAGCGGAACAGAACATAGAATCCAGAAGTAAAATCCAGCTTATATGAAATTTTAATATATGACAAAAACGTATTTCAATTTAATGAGGGAAATAGTGATTATTTAATAAATGGTGTTGGCACAACTGGCTAGCCATCTGGTAGAAAATAGGCCCCTATTTTATATTATAAATAAAAAAACAAATTCCAGATGAAGTAAATGTTTGATGTAAAATAAAGCACCAAAAGTTAGAAGAAAACCCAAGAGACAACATTTACAATGTTTTTAACCAGAGACCAAAAAAAAGCCAATATTTGTGTTAATAAAAATTAAAAACAATTTACATTGTTTTTAATTATGATAAAACAATGCAAAGCTATTATAGACAAAACTAATAGGCAAGTGACAGATATGGGAAAATACATGCAAAAGAGATAACAGATAACGGGTTAGTAATCATCACCAAGATGCAAAGAGTTCTTAAAAATTGGCAAGAGAAAAGCAACTCAATGGAAAAATAGGTAAAAGATGTGAAAAGAGAGGTTTTGAAAATAAATCCACATAGCCACAAGCATCAAGATGCTCAGACTAACTGGCAACTGAAGAAATGCAAATTACAGCAAAAATTAATAATCACTTTACAACCAATCAGATAAAAGAAAAATTAGAGAGCAATAATACTGACAAGATGAAGAAAAATATGTCAATTGTTTACAGCTGTTTTGGAAAGTAGTTTGACAAATATCTTACATTAAAAATACACAGACACTTCAACCAACAAATCACACTCCTGGGAATCTATTCCATAAAAAATAATCTCACCAATAAAGTGTTTGTTGCAGTATTGCTCTTGTTGCAAAAACAACCAAAAACTGAGTTCCCAACAATAAGGTGATAAATACATCTATATATTATAGAATATTAAACAGACACTAAAAAGAATGATTTAGAACTATGCCCTTTGACTTGGAAGGGTTTTCCTGGACGTATCTTTGAGTGATTAAAGTAAGATGCAGAGAAGGGAAAACACTATCCTGATTTTAAAAAGCAAATATTGATCAAAACCCATAAATGTATGAGCATAAACATGTGTATTGTGTGAGAGAGAGAAAAACAGAAAGACAGAGATAGAGAGACAGAGACAGAGAGACAGAGAAAGCAATAGAGAGAAAGAATGTGAACATGGAGACAAATAGAAGGATACACACCAGCTTGCTAACAAGATTATCTGAGAAGGGGGTAGAGAAATGCAGCCGTTGAAAAGAAAAAATGAGCAGAATGTATGATATGGTTCCATTTATGCTAAGCAAATTAGACCTTCTACAATGCAAATTAGGAATATAACACGATCGGTATGAGCCTCCATCTTCCACATAGTCCCTTTTCTTAAACCACCCTATGATATTTGGTATTTTCTCATCCATTGAACTATCAGTTCTGTACAACATAAGCCCTACAATCTTTTGTGCATTTTGTGACAATCCTGCTTTAAAAAATGTTTTTCATGATCTGTTACCCTGCATTTTATGAAACTGAATTTTTGGACCCCACTTTTCAAGTTGGGGTGTGGTTTTACACACCAACACAAGTATGTACTTATACACAAAGAAATAAGAAAAAATAAGATGTTGGTAACTGATTATTTACTGACTATTGGAATGTCCATAAAATGAAAATACAAGTTATGGGAAAATATACATAAAGCATTCTATTTCAGTAAAAAAAAAAAAAAATGAAAACTTTAATTATAACTGAAATATTTTTAAATGAAACAGAAAGTGGTGGAATGTATTCACTAAGTCATTGGTAAGGTTCCATAAAAGACCGGAAAATAGAAAAAATAAGGTGAAAAAATGTTTCTTCACTTATTACAACAAGCAAAAAAGTATTGCTTTTGAGATTTAAAAACATTAATTAAAACAGTTATAAATAGCAAGTGATAGAATAAAATAAATTGGGTGTTACATAGTATCAATCTCATAGGATCTGCTGTGAAGATAAAATTAGATAATCCACTTAAAGTGCTTAGCATATTGTCTAACATGTTGTAAATGTTCCATTAGTGTTAGCTGTTTTTTTGTTTAAAAAAAAAGACTCCAGAGAGTAGTGGAAATTACGAAGTGGAAAAGGCAAGCCTTTTTAAAAGGACATTGTGTACATACATAAGACATTTTTTTCCCCATTACCAGATCTGGCCTTCTTTGGACTGCAAGGACTCATTTATGTAACCATACAGCTCATTAAATAACATTTTCATTGGCAGTGAAAATAAAATTACAATTAGATAAATAAGGTAGGAGGGTGGATCCAAAAAAACTCAGAATTTATTTATAAAAAATTGTGTATTTATTCTGACATGTTTAAACTTCAATCACCTTCAAAGTACTCTCCATTTGATGTAATATACCTATCAAGATGCTTTTTCCACTGCTTAAAACAGTTTTTGAACTCATCAATTTTGATGCCTTTTGAGGAATTTTATAATCCAGGGAAACAAAAAAAAAATGTCGCTAGGGGAGCGAATACCAAATATCATAGGTGAATAGAAAGGGTGGGGCATGGGTCATGCTGTTTTGGGTCAAAAACTGCTGAATACTCAGCACAGTATGGATAGATGCACTCGTAAATCACCCATCATAAAATGGACAAACGTGTTGAGAATCTCAAAAAAAAAAAAAATTCACTGAAGATGAACGCAGCCTCTCATAACAATGTTAGCTGGTACGCTGATGCCCATGAGTTCCTAGAACACTTACCTTCTGGGGAAAGCCTGTACTACAAGTGGCCCACTCTCCAAATATAATTCTGGGTTTTTGGGGGGACCCCCCCCATACATAACGATAGGGAGACGGCGATCTTTCTGTCCTAAAAGATACTTTAAGAACTTCACAAACCATCCTAAGGCACTATGCTTCCATCACAACCCTTCAAAAGTGACCTACTTGGGCCCCAAATATTTCCCCCAGGCTGGAGGACACACAACAGGGAGTTCATATATATTGAAGAGTGATGCAATGGCTCTTCTGGAGGCCCACCCAAGTGAGCAATCCATTCATAAGCATAGAAATGCCAGTCCCAACTGTGAGAATGTCTTTGCTGGCCTGCCTTAAAATGTTAGTTTGGCTATAATCTACAAATGAAATCTGATCCATCGATACCATTCTTATTGTCCAATGAAACATTAAAATGGTCTCATAAATTTCATGCATGTGTCATTAGTCATATTACTCACATGGAATTGACTTTGTCTTCAGGGCCCTGCACTTGGCCTGTCACCGTTCCTTTGCTGGTATTCTTCACCCAGCCAACCACTCCTATTTTCTTAGCTTCACCTTCTGTATACTGGTTTCAGGAAAAAACAAGAGAGATGAAGCCCATCGTCAAAAGACTGAATTCAGAATATACTTGATTCTAATGTTCAAAAAAATGCTAACCTGATCAGATTTTTTTTTCCCTAAAATATAGACTATGCTAACAATTGTGTAGCTGACTTATGGTAACACATCTATTTATAAGAATCTTCACTTAAATGGTATCTTTTGTTAAATTTCACTTTCAGTAAAGAGAAGCATATTAGGAAAAAATAAACGGATTGTGGGAATTATTTCAGAAACAGTTTCTATTATGTGTTTCTGGGATCTATAAAATTCAGTTGTATTGCTCTCAAGCCTGCTAGCACCAAATTATGTTGTTAGTCTGGGTTCCAAATAATAATCAATCCAAGAGTCTCAATCATGGAGAAAAAATATTCAACCATGATCAACATAAAGTATTCATAGGCAGAAAGAGGCTAAAGCATTTTGAAATTTCCAGCAAAAATGAGGGAAATAATTTTAATGAGAAAATTAAATTAGCAAGAACACTAGCCTAGACATGCTAGTTTGCAGAGTTATTTTAAGATTAATGATTTTGATGTTTCCCTTTGGCTCTGGACTTGGCACAGAAATGTTATAATTGTCAATGGGTAAATTGATCTCTCCTATTATTTTTAATAGTTTTTAACATTCCTTTTTCTAGCTCCAAATTCAGTACACTACATAACTGCAACATTTTGATTTTGAGTTATTTTAACTACATCCTACTAAAATTCCTGTTGATCCAGTTCATTAGAATATTTCAAAAACATACTTTTCTCCTGTCTGGAGGTCAAGGTGATCAAGAGCCCTACACTCCACATACTCAACTGTATGAAGCAACACAAACCAAATGGTTACAGCTAAGATTAATGTAAGAGTTGGCTCTGAAAATAAGTCAAGGTCTTACTAGACAATAATGAAAAGAGAGACAATCTCAATTGTGAGGGGTGGAGTTGCCTCAAAAAACAGAGACTTTACTGATGGGGACATGCTGGAACTCTCAGGGCTTGGGAACAAAAGATCTAATCAGTGACTCCCAGGTTAGGTAGTCAGTAAAAATCACATGCCACCAATAACTTTTAGAAAAGGAGTATTTTTAAAAATGAAAATTTAAAGAGTGACAAGAAGTTAAAAACCTGGGAACTGCTAAAAACTGGGAACCACTTCTCTATGCAACACTGGCATTTTCATTTTTGCATAGAGACATTTTGACATGTGTACCCCTGGCTAGAGGATTTCTTCCATCCAGAACATGTGAAAGATCCCATACTTTGTATTCAATATACCTAATCAAAATGTCAAATTCAAATCACTCCAAAAGAGGTACAGTACTTGGGAAATCCATAGAAAATATTAATCAAGCCAGGCACAATCCCTCATGCCAGTAATCCCAGCACATTAGAAGGCCAAGGCGGTAAGCCCGTTTGAGCCCAGGAGTCCAGACCAGACTAGGCAACATAGAGAGACCTGGTCTCTAAAAAAAATTTTAAAAATAGCCAGGTGTAGTGGCGTATGCCTGTAGTCTCAGTTTCTCGGGACGCTGAGGTTGAAGGATCACCTGAGACCAGGAGGTCAAGGCTGTGGTGACTGTGATCGTGTCACTGCAGTCCAGCTAGACAACAGAGCAAGACCCTGACTCAAAAAAAGAAAAAGAAAAAATATTAACCAAAAATTAGGAAGGTTGTGTTTAGCCTTAATAAAAATCTCAATCAGTAATTTCAAAGAAATACGAGAGGGACCCAAAACAACTGAAATTATCTTTTGGACCCCTTGTAGTACAGGCTTCCCCTGATAGGTTAGTGTTCTAGGAACCCATTAGCATCAGTGTACCAGCTAGCGTTATTATGAGAGGCTGCATTCAGCTTCAGTGAATAATTTTTTGGAGATTCTTTCAACATATTTGCCCACTCATGATGGGTGACTTACAAATGCACCTGCCCATAGTGTGCTGAGTGTTCAGCAGTTTTTGATCAAAAAACAGCACGACCCCCATGCCCCAACTTCCCTATTCACCAGATCTCATCCCAAGTGACGTTTTTGTTTTCCTGGATGAAGAAAGTCCTCAAAGGGAAGCATTTTGCCAATGTGAAAGAGGTGAAACAAAAAACAACAGAAGTACTAAAAGACATCAGAACTGATGAGTTCAAAAACTGTTTAAAGCAATAGAAAAAGCATCTCAGTTGGTGTATTACATCAAACAGAGAGTACTTTGAAGGTGACTAAAGTTTAAACATGTAAGAATAAATACACAATTTTCTTATAAATAAATTCTGGCTTTTTGGGAGAACCCCTCCTTGTATTTGTTTGCTGTTAAGGACAGGAAATATGCAGTAGACTAACTCTAAGTAGAAAACTGCTCTATTTCTATGATTAGAAGTAACAATGGGAAAATAGCAACAACAAAAAAATAACAGATTGTGCTGACTCACCATTCTGAAGCAAACACCTGTATAAAAGAAAGATAAAAAGAAATGTCAGTTTGTCTACCTTTCAAAAAAAATTATACATTTCCTGACAACTTTCATCTACAGTAGTCTCACTAATCCTCGGTCTCACCTTCCATAGTTTCAGTTACTCTTGATCAACTGTAATCTGAAAATAGTATATGGAAAATTCCAGAAGTAAATGATTTGTAAGTTTTAAACTGAGTGCCACTCTGAGTAACCTGATGAAACTGCACTGTCCCACTGCATCCCGCCCAGGACGAAAATTCCCCTTCTGTCCAGCAAATCCACACTGTCTATACTCCCCACTCTTTAGTGACTCGGTGTCCATCTCAGATCAACCCTGGTGGTACCGCAGTTCTTGTGTTCTAGTAACCCTTATTTTACTTAATAATGACCCCAAAATGCAAGAGTAGTGATGCTGGCTACTTGAATGGGCCAAAGAAAAGTCACAAAGTGCTTCCTTTAAGTGAAAAGATGAAAGTTCTCAACTTAATAAGAAAAAGAAAAATCTTATGCTGATGTTGCTAAGATCTACAGCAAAAACGAGTATTCTAGCCATGAAATTATGAAGAAAAAAAATGTGCTAGTTTTTGCAGTTACACCTCAAACTGCAAAAGGTATGGCCACAGTATGTGATAAATCCTTAGCTTATGTAGAGTTCTGTACTAGCTGCGGTGTCAAGCATTCTCTGGGGTTCTTGGACAGTATCTACCCAGGACAAGCAGGGACTACTGCATTTATTCAGTAGTAAGTAAATGAAATAAATAAAACATTTAATATCCAAATGTATTCAGAAGGTATTTTTTAAAATTCTTTTAAAATGAAAAGAGAAAAAGAAGACGATTTAGAGAAAAATCATGTTAATGTTCTGAAACCCAAACATAATAAAATGCTGAAATACATATTCCTTCTATTTTTAAATGCTAAATAAAACAAAATGCTTATTACATGAACAGTTGAGTATATTTGGCATAAAATTTAGCTGTCCTCAACTTTTAAGCGATCCTCTGTAAATGCAAGGAATAAATGCAAGTTTAAATGTAATTAAAAAGAAACACTTCTGTTTTTATTTTGTTTCTAGTTATAGAACCAATAAAGAATATATCATGAAATGATATGCTTGACCATGACTTGCCTTCTGCAGCCTCTGTGCTAGTGGAATTAACTAAAATGGAAATAATTCTTAGAATCTCTTTCGTGTACATTACATTATGTTCATACTTTGTATCCTATAGGTTGGGTAGTGTTGTTGGTCTTGGTTATGATTTCTCTATCTAGAGACGGACCTGACTGTGGTAGGCCATTCTATTTTGGCCAACTGCAATGGTATCTTAAACTCTGGTTACCCAGTCTGCAAAGCTGTGGGAGTCCCATCTCAGACAGAAGTCAAGATTTCCATGGAACTTCAGATCCTGGGTTGTTTGGAGCCAAACACTGACACACAGAGAACTGAGCTCTAACGTGGGGGTGAAACAAGAGGTCACCTGGTTCCAATGATCAGGAACGTGTGTTTATGATCTGGGACCCTTCAGGACAGGGGTCCCCAATGCCCAGGTCACAGACCAGTACCAACCTGTCCATGACCTGTTAAGAACCAGGCCACACAGCAGGAGGTGAGTGGCAAGTGAGTGAGTGAAGCTTCATCGGTATTTACAGCTGCTTCCCATCGCTCGCATTAATGCCTGAGCTCCACTTCCTGTCAGATCAATGGCAGCATTAGATTCTCATTGGAGCACAAACCCTATTGTGAACTGTGCACGCAAGGAATTGAGGTTGGGTACTCTTTATGAGAATCAAATGCCTGAAAATCTGAGGTGGAGCCGAGGCAGTGATGCTAGAGCTGGGGATCAGTTGCCAATACAGATTAACATTAGCAGTGAGATTTGACTGCACAGAAGTCATAATAAGTCAGTTGCTTGCAGACTCATATCAAAATCCTATTAGTGAGTGGCAAGTGAGTTGATGTACTTCAATTGTACAGCTGCATCTGGTGGCAGGCTTTAAGTCAGAATCTGACACTTATTTTAGTCCATGCTTGGAATGCCTGTTACTTTATTTACCACTTCCATCTGCACCTCTTTCCTGCACTGCGCACTTGTCTCAGTCACAGCTTTGGTAAACCCACAGGCTAACCCTAGCCAAAATAAGTAAAACACAAATGTCACTGGAGAGCTTCTTTGGAAAGGGGGAAAGACCTAAATGAGACAGCAGAACACTCTAAGACTGCCAACAAAAAGAAAGCTGCATTTAAAAGAAAACACCAAGATGTAAATTATGAGTTCATTGCAACAGGTGATTCACATTCTCCAAGCCTACTTTGTAAACTATGTGGCAAGCAGTTATCCAACAAAGCCATGAAACCTTCAAAATTGCTTTGACACATGGAGACCAAGCACCCTGCATTAAAAGACAAGCCTTTGGAGTTTTTCAAAAGGAAAAAAATGTGAACACAAAGGACAGAAGCAATTATTGAAGGTCATCACTTCACCAAATGTGTCTGCACTGAGAGCATCAATCTGAGTGGCTAACTGCATTGCTAAAGCTAAGTAGCCCTTTATCAGTGAAGATTTTATCCTGCCTGCTGCTAAAGACATTTGTTGTGAACTTTTAGGAAAGGCTGCAGTTCAAAATGTGGCACATGTTTCTCTTTCGGCTAGCACCATAACTAGATGAGCTGATGAAACAACAGAAGATATTGGGGCACAATTATTAAAGAGGACTAATGAGTTATGGTACTCAATCCAGGCTGACGAGTCTACTGATGTTGCCAACAAGGCAACAATACTTGTTTCTGTGCTATATATTATTAGGAGGATGTGCATGAGAATATGTTACATGCATTTTTGTTGCCAACCAATACCACAACTGCAGAACAATTCAAGTACTTGAATGTTTATGGATTAGGAAAACTGAATTGGCCATTTGTGTTGGTATATGCATGGATGGAGGGGCTTGCCATGACTGGATAGCTTTCTAATTTCACTACTTGGATCAAAGAGGTCGTTTCTGAATGTGAGTCTACACACTGTATCATCCACAGACAAATGCTGGCTAGCCGAAAAATGTCACTTGAACTTAACAACGCTTTGCAGGATGTATTAAAAGGGAGGCGGAGGCAAGAGGTTTGCCTGGACCCAGAGATTCAAGACCAGCCTGTGCAACTTGGTGAGTCCACGTCTCTACACAGAAATGAGATGACTTTCTAAAGGAAGATCACTAGTCAGAGTTTTTGAGTTATGAGAACCGGTCCAGAAATTTCTTTTAGAAAAACAGTCACCACTGGTAGCACATTTCAGTGACACAGAATGGGTCGCAAAACTTGCTTATTTGTGTGACTTATTCAACCTGCTCAACAAACTCAATCTGTCACTTCAGGGGAGAACAAAAACTGTGTTCAAGTTGGGAGATAAAAGGGCTACACTCAAAACCAAACTGGAATTATGAGGGCGACAAGTGAACTTTGGGATTTTTAACATGTTTCAAACATGAGCAGAGATTTAGAAAGAGACTGAGCCAGGGCCTTATTTCTCCCAGCTGGTGCATGATCACCCATCTCAGTTTTCAAAAGTGTTTGAGCATTACTTGCCAACCACAAAAGACCCCTGAACTGGGAAGAAATGGATCTGCAACCCATTTGTGAATAAGCCAGGCGAATCAAATTTGTTCGAGCTAGAAGAGGATCAACTGCCTGAGACCGCAAATGATGATAGCCTTAAAAGTATGTTTGAGACAACTTCAAATCTCCATACGTTTTAGATTAAAGTCAAGGTGGAATATGCTGAGATTGCCACAAAAGCACTGAAGAGCCTGCTTCCATTCCTAACACCCTATCTTTGTGAAGCAGGGTTTTCTGCAGTGACAGCAACCAAGACGAGATTATGGAGTAGACTGGACATAGACAGCACACTTCAGGTGTCACTGTCTCCACCATCCCCAGATGGGACTATCTAGTTGCAGGAAAACAAGCTAAGGGCTCCCACTGATTCTGCATTATGATGAGTTGTATAATTATTTAATTATATATTACAATATAATAAGAATAGAAATAACATACACAATAAATGTAATGTGCTTGAATCATCCCAAAAACGCTCCCCACCCCGGTCTGTGGAAAAAATGTCTTCCTTGAAACCGGTCCCTGATGCCAAAAAGGTTGGGTGTTGGGGACCATTGCTTTAGGGGGAAAGGGAAGGTCTTCCTACACTTCTCTTGGGAATTATAGCAGTGAACCTAAATAACAGATCTCAGGTCATTCCTGCAAATTGCAAGTTGGAAGACCCTTGATCCAAAAAGATGCATTAGAACAGGCTTCGGCAGGGCTTGGTGGCTCAGCCTGTAATCCCAGCACTTTGGGAGGCCGAGGCAAGTGGATTGTCTGAGTCTACAGGTTCGAGACCCACTCGGGCAACGTGGCGAGACATCAATTCTACAATAAATCAAAATTTAGCCAGGTGTGGTAGTGCATGCCTGTAGTTCCAGCTACTTGGAAGGCTGAGGCGGAAGGATTGCCAGAG